TTTGCTTTTTTCACTCGGTCCTTTTAGAGCATTTATATTCCGAAATGATTTATATTTCGATTATATGTTTTGACCGAAATAAATGTTTCATATTTACCCCGCTCCTTATATTGATTAATTACATGAATTATATTATAAAAAAAATCAAAATGTATATGCATTAAAAAAAATATATTTCAGGTTAGTATATCGTGTGCTACTTTTATAAGACTTTTTTTAATATACTCCTTTATGGTCATCTGTCAAAATTATCCTTAGTTTATAAATTTATCATTTTACTTTAGTTATTTTCTCCCCTTATTAATTAATTTTAGCCTAACATTTTTCACGATCTTTCATTAAATTTAATTTCAACCTCACATGCACTCTTCTTTTTCATTTTTATTCCCTCAAATTGTGAGTAAAAGAAAAAAACATAAAGAAAAGGTTTAAGTACCATTTTGGTCCCTCAACTTTTCACTTTGACACCAAAATTGTCCCTCACCTTTAAAAAGTATCAAAATTATCCTCAAACTTTGATTTTTGGTACCAAAATGGTCCTTCCGTCAATTAAATGCCAGGTGGCTCGTTAAAATGCCAGCAAATCAATTCTTTTTTTTTCTTAATCAATGACATGGAAAAAAAAAACATTTTTTTATGAGTTGGCATTTTTAATTAATTTAAAAATAATTATATCTTTTTCTTTTATCCACGTCAAAGATAAAACATTTTTTCTTTCTCTTCCTCTTTTACTCTCTCTTCTCCCTTCGTCTTTCTCTCTCAAACCCAGATCTGGGTTTTTCTCAAACCCAAACCCAGATCTGGGTTTTTCTCAATTTGGTGAAAATTCATACATTAAAATGAAAAATACAAGTAATAAACAACATACACCATACATTTTTTTCACAAACACCACACACAAATTCATGATGAAGCAAGCTTCGCATTGGCTCGGTTTGTGCTAGACCCCTGCACGTGGCTCCGGACGCCTCAAAGTCGATACTTGTTCCTCTTGCTCTACTCTCCTATCCTCCTCCCTTTCCTCTGCGCAACTTTTCCTCTACTCTGTGCCACGGAGTTCTGCTTCTGGGTTTTTCACGAGAGGACGAGAAGGAAAGCAGTTGCACGGCAGTCAACAAACGAGGAGGAGCGGCTGAGGGGATGCAAGGAGGGGTGTGGGTGAAATAATGAAGGGGAAGAAAGTGAGGTGGGGTTGTTGCTCAAACCCAGATCTGGGCGTTTCTCAAACCCAGATCTGGGTGTTTCTCAAACCCAGATCTGGGTTTCACAAATCTGGGTTTTCTCTAGTGATTTTGATTGTGGTTTTTTCTTTGTAACTTTGAAAGTTGAAACGTCTCTGC